TCCATGTAACCTAACCCTTGCATTTTCACTCATGTTGGTGCTGCTCCTTCTGCCTGATGTTGACTAAGATCTTCCTGGTTTCCCTCCCCGCAGAACCCTGCTTTTCTCAGCACCCCATATTCTTGGGCTGTCTCTCTGCCATTCTTCCTTCCAGTCCCCACGCCAGTAAATTGATCTGCTTCGGCCGTTCTGCCTCTCTGCTTTCTAACTACATACACTTCCTGCCTAGGTAGCTAAGGAGAACAGGCCAAAACACCGCCTTCCCCATTCAGATGCCCTCCAGGTGTGGTAGAGCACAGCGTGTGCGATCACCTAGCACCTCTGGGGAGCACCTGCTTGGGGAAGGCTCATGTGGCCACTGCAGATCAGGGGAGCCCTTCCGTCCGTATTGCAGCTACAATCATGTTAGATTTTATGAGTCAAAATCAGTACCTTGAACTGGGCTGACTATAGATGGTGGAATCAAAACATCTCATGATCATTGAAATCTGCTGCTGTCATGATACCCTAAGTTCGCTTGTCTTTAGCAGCCATCCATGTTGCATTGGCAGCTCCCCTGATCAACTGAATCATCTCAGTCCTTTTCACATAATTTAGTGATTCATTTAAATATTATTAATTATATTGATATCCCACTCTCATTCCGCTTGGAAGGGATGCAAAATGACTTCCCTACTCCTGTTCTTTGTTGTATCTTCACAATAAAGAAGATATCTTAAAATATCTTCAAAGCCAAATGGGAGCAAAACCTGGATCTCCTGAGTCCCAGTCCCACACTCTAACCACTAGGCCACGTGGCTTCTCTGCACGTCGGTCTTCCACCCCCCTCCAGACTTGAGCCTCCAGTGTTCTGCATTTCAGTGCAGACTGTTACATTTCTCTCTGCCAAATCCACTTTCTTGGTTTGGGGCCAGGATCTGTCAGCCACCAGATGAAGAGCCTTGAGCCGGGCTTCCAGGATGTGCACTTGCTCAGACTTTACACAGAGAGTTTACTGAGGAGCACCTGTCTCCTTTTCCTGGGACACAGGCTGCGATAAACATCCCGTTCCTCTTGCAAAAACCTCTCTGGCTTCCTGTGGCAGTGAGGCCCGTGGCATAATTACACCCATCAACACGAGGCCTTTCCTGGCATTACTTCTTGACTCACAGGGAGGCTTTGTTCTCTGCTGTCATTACCAGAGCCGGCATATGTTGGCATAGTTCCCTGGAACCCCTAGACCAGAACATGCCACCGTTCAGTATAAACAGTATAAACGTTTTCTGCTCCAAACACCATGGCAATATTTTTTTTTCTTGTTTAGTCGCAAAGTCCTGCCTGACCCATCACGACCCCATGGACAACCTTCCTCCAGGCTCTCCTGTCCTCCCCGTCCTCCGGAGTCCACCCCAGCTCACAGCCACTGCCCCAGCGGCTCCATCCAGCCACCTCATCCTCAGCCGTCAATCATTCCCAGCATCAGGGTCTTCTCCAGCGAGTTGTTCCTTGTCATTAGGTGGCCAAAGTATTTGAGTTTCATCTTCAGTATCTGGCCTTCTAAAGTCCAGTCAGGGTTGATCTCTAAGACTGACTGGTATGATCTCCTTGCAGTCCAAGGGACTCGCAGGAGCCTTCTCCAGCACCACAATTCAAAGGCCTCAATTCTCCGGCACTCAGCCTTCCTTATGGTCCAATGGCAATAAATACATCACTTCATTCCATAAAGGGACAATAGGGAACCAAGGCCTGCCAACCTGCTTTTTTCCTCTTCCCTCCCCATGCCTTTTTCCTTTCCTGTTGTGCCTTTTTCGATGGCAAGCTTGATGGGAGGGTCTGACTTGGTTTACTGATTATAGGGAGGTTATAAAATGATCCAGTGGGCTTAGTCAGTTCTACCAATCACAAAAATGCAATGCTGTGGCACTTAACCCTTAAGTTTTTGGGGGTGCCGTCTAGCTGTGCTGCACTGGGAGTTACAGGACCTCTGGCTGTCCACACATGCCCAGGGTAGCAGGTCGCTGTGTTAACACGAGCATTCTAGCACTAGAAGGACCCAAGGCACGTGAAGTGTGAAGCTCCCGTCTCGCATGTTCATGAAATGCCTGGATGATCAGAATCCCTGTGTGCTTTGCACATTCTTACCATGATTGCTTACTCCATTTCAGTTCCATCCTGCTTTTCTTCCTCTCACAAGGAAGCCAGGGCAGCTGACAAGCTTCCCTGCCTCCCCATTTCATCCTCACAAAAACAACCCTGTGGGGAAGGCTGAGACTAGATCCCAGATCTCCCATGTCCCCAGGCCAACACTCTAACTGCTACTCTGCACTGTCTCTCCAGGCATGTCACAGAGTGTGCTGCTTGATTTCAAAGTCTGCTGCTCTCTGTCTTACAACCCCCTTCCCTTTTTCTGCTCCTTCCGCCCTGCTCTCCATTTTCCCACCCCATCCAACTGGGAAAAGCAAGCAGTATATGAAAAATGATTACTTAGTAATGCCATGATTCTGTCCATTTTTACTGAGAAGACAGCCCAGCTAAATTCAATGAGATTTGCTCCCAGGTAGGTATATATAGAATTTGAGAGTTACTTTGAATAGGCCTGTAGAGAAGTGTGTTGTGGACTCAGCTTTTGGACAATATAGAAACATAATGAAGAAATACATAGATTTAAGGCTGGGGTGCGGAACCTCAGACATGGATACGGGCGACAAATCCAAGCCTCTAGGAAGCCACAGCCCTTTCCTTCCAGCCATCAATTTTCCAGTCATTTCCCAGCTTCTGTGCAAATTTTTCCATTCAGAAAGGCTGCAATGCCTCTCCAAAGGATTCCGTATCCGCGCAGGGAAACCTTGACGCTCAAACGTGCTTGGTCTTTGCAGCCCAGTTTTTTTGCCTTCCACTCCTCCACACCAGCACATGATGGGAACACCTGAAGCGCCTGGATATCTGAGCACAGACTGGAGTTTCAGGAAGCTCCTTTTGTGGTGGGAGGTGGAAAGGGAAACCTCGCTCGTGGCTTGTTGCCAGCCATGGTTTGATCCTTGCTCACAGGCGGTGGCATCTTGGTGTCCAAGAGCAACTCTGGGGCAGTTCGTCACCACTAGCTGTGGGGTGCTGAAAGCGGGACGAGAGGGTGCAGAGGAACTCCCCAGCTAGGGAAGGGGAGGGCAGGATGTGCTCCTTCGCTTGATATCCAGTGGGCCTAGTTACATAACGAGGCAGCCTGGTGTTTTGCACGCCCAAGGCAGGAATGGCAAGCCGTCAGGTGACGGCCGCCACCGTCTAAAGAAGTTTCATTTGGGGCATCTGCACAGGGTGGATTATTAACTCAGCCAAAGTCCACAGTTTCACACCAAGGGCAACCGAGGCGCAGCCAGACAGTAACGTGCCAGATGTTTTCAAAGGGCTGTTTACAAAGTCGACACAGCCCACTTACGGCAGGTTTTGCAACAGCTGTTCTGCTCGGCCCCGAGATGCGGTTTCGCCATGCCAGGACATGTGCTAAGAGGAAACTCTTGCACCGGCACACTGCCTTCCCCCACCTGTCGCGGAGTCGCTTCTCTTTCTTGCCGAGTTTTTCTTCTCTCAGCCTTAATGGCGAGCAGAATGTGCATGGATGTATCCATGTCAACACGCAACTGCAGGAAACAGGTGGCAAATAGTTCCAGAAGAGGATCTTGGAAACCTCGACTTTGCGTTGAACCAACCCACCCACGTCTCTGGTGCTCAAGAGTGAACAAGATTAGAAGTCGAAAGTCACCACAGGTATTGAGGAAACCTCAAATGCTGACAAGCTGCATCTCCAAAATCCCCTTCTCTGCAGGTTGAGTGGGAGGAGTGAAAACCAGCTGGGAGCTGCACCTTCCGCGATTCTCTCACCACCTCCTATTCTTGCGGCCACTTACTATTTCCTTGTATTTTATTTTTACTGCTGATAATCAAAGCTCTCTGGGGTGGGCACCAGGTTGGGAATGCATCTCTCAAGAGCAGGATCTAGAATGGCGGGGGGGGGTGAGTGGGGGAATCAGCTGAGTGAGGTGGCTGCCACCCTTCCGATTCTTGCTCCCCTCAGGCATGTGCAGAGGGGGCAGCAGGGGAACCAGCTGAATGGGGCAGTGCATGACCGAGCAGATTCTCCCCCCAGGTATGGAAGGGGCTTTCCTCAGGCCAGCGTGGGAGGCGCTGGGTGGGTGGGGATCAGCTGAGCAGCACTGCCCCATCCCAGCGCCGCTCAGCTGATCACCTGCTCCTGCCGCAAAGATCTGAAGCAGGGGAGGCGGGCACAGGAGGGACGACCCCATGGTGGAGCTCTCTGGTAGCTGCTTGGCAAGAGCGGCAATGGACCGCTCTTGCCAAGAACTCTCTGGTTTTGGCTTTGGTACCATGAGCTCGCTTTCCACGTTTGGACAACACAAGGAGCCATCACGGTGGTGAGAAACCACAGATCGGAGTGTTTATTTCTGCACTTGGCTTCTCAAGATGAAAAGTACCACGCTTTAATGGCACGGCCGAGTCTGGATGACAAGGGCACAAAGTCAGTTGTGCAATGCAAACCCAGCCAGCGATTGTATTTCTCTCACTCCTCTTTTTTCTCTTGCAAGGATCCCCAAGTCTTCCACCTTCCTGTTTGATTGTCGCAGCCACCCTATGAAGCCGCCAAGGTTGGGAGCCAATGGCTGGGCTCAAACTGATAACCCACACGCAAAAGGTCGCCATTGGACCTACACGTTATTGTTCATCAGCAAATCAGGCTTACAGTAATACGTGCTCGCCTTTGGCGAGCAGCAGTATTCTCCAGGGGAACAAACGTCGAACTCTTCATGGGACATAGCAACTAGGATGTTTTGGGGAATAAAGCTCAGTTGCTCCTCCCTATCCTGCTTTTCCAAACATGCTAGAATTGAGTATATACCGAATGTTCAAGGGCGGGGGAGGGGCATTTCCTGTGGACTGGCACCTTTTGTGGGACACAGCTGCTTCCCCTAAAGACACACAGGTCACAAATCACGCTCGGCACCAAGGCAGCAGGATGACAAAAAGTGCAATAATTTATTTATGTGAGCACCACAAAAAGTTTCCGTTTGGCAGTAAGACATGCTCAACGTCAGAACAGAGCAGAGAGAAGGCGAGGGCTGGAGGCGTAGCCGCAGAAAGAGATCAGAGAGGAGGAAAAGGTGGGAGGATGAGGCCGTGAAGGTGAAGCAAAATCAAAGGCGGCCCCCAAGGGGACTGGCATCCTTCCTGACCCACCCGCGCGGGATTTCGGAGAAAGGCGCTCAATCCACTTCCTCAATGGTGGGTCCCGAGGAGCCTCCGCCAGCCCCTCCTGCTCCTGGGAAGCCCCCGGGCATCCCGCCCGGCATCCCGCCCGGCATGCCCCCGGCCCCTTGGTACAGCTTGGTGATGATGGGGTTGCACACGTTCTGCAGCTCCTTCTGCTGGTGCTCATATTCATCCTTTTCCGCCATCTAGAGGAGAGATGGAGGCAACGCGTTACGAACGTTTCCGAGGCCATGGGACAGAACCTTCCCGCAGCCTTGCACCACCCCAGTTCTAGCCTCATTCACTGGCTCAGGAGGACTGTGCTGGTGTTTTATTGCCCCTCGTGAAAGAAGAGATGGGATTGGGCTGGTGCTGGCTCAGTCCATGGATTCTTGGAGACTGAGGGATGTCTCAGGTCCTGGATTCCCTGACATCCCTCAGTTTCTGCCAACTGGGCAGGCTACAGCTGATCGGGTTGCGGGCCCAATCCACAACGAAAGCGAATACGTATCAGGGTGCTTGGAACCCAAATGCTTTACTCCACGGGAAACCCAAGCAACGGAATACGGCTTTGGTTTATGGCTCAGCCTGGGGGAACTGTGGGAATGATCCCTCCCTCTGTGAAAGCTGCAGCTGGGAACACACCCTGGAAGCTCGTGAGCTGACTCAACCCACACCTGGCCAGGTGCAACCAGCAGAGGTCCAAGGAACAGGAACGTAAGGGGACGAATTGGACATCTGTCTGATTAGTGCTCCCGATCAAGTCCATGCAGGCAGAATTTACAAGACCTGAGCAGGGCTGTTGAGGAGAGGACATTTTGAAAGGCATTCAGTCAGAGGGGTGCCCAGAAGTCAGATAACCTGGCAGTGCGATTCCTCATAAAGGCCAACACCAGGGTTAAGGTTTGCCATTGTGAGGGCTCTGCTGCCCCCTAGTGGGACATCTGGGAAGACACTAGGATTTGCCACACTCTACATGCCTATGGACTCTGTTGGCTCATTTTGTTCGTTCTCTCTCAAGGCAAGCAGGAGGAACGACAGCTAAATTCTGGAAGGAGGCACCATCTGTTCTCATCGGTGGTCTAAAATCAAGGCAAGTCTCCTCCTTCGCCACGACACGCTGCTCTACTGGATCGTGGCTGCCGCACTCTGCCTCCCACTTGCGAAGAACACTCCGTGGAGAAGGAGCCCAGCTGCCTCCACCACCCCACTCTGAGGCCAACTCACCTGGTTCCTGTCCAGCCAGGAAATGACCTCATTGCACTTGTCCAGGATCTTCTGCTTATCCTCTGGGGACAGCTTGTCCTTGAGCTTCTCATCCTCTGCTGTGCTCTTCATGTTGAAGGCCAAAGATTCCAGGGAGTTCTTGGCTGCAATCTTTTCCCTCTGGATTTCGTCCTCGGCCTTGTACTGCTCTGCTTCTTGGACCATGCGCTCGATCTCCTCCTTGCTAAGCCGGCCTGCAGCAAAAAGCGGAACCTTGTTGAGTAAGCTCCAACCAACATAGGGAGACTACCTGTCCTCTCTTACAGAGGAGGCCTCTCCAGTCTAGGTCTGGTTTAAAGAGAAAGAACCGCAAGAAATGTTACACCCTGCAACCAGGTGACTGACTGACTGACTGCTTTCTGTATAATAGTGAAGCTCTGAATTGGTACCGACACATTTCAGTGGACTGCCTTCTTTCTTAGACACACACATCCTCTTTTTTGGCTATTCACATGTGGCCCTTCTGCACCAACCGAGAGTCACGGGCGGCTTCCTGTTCCCCAATGCGCTTACCTTTATCGTTGGTGATGGTGATCTTGTTCTCCTTGCCAGTGCTCTTGTCGACCGCGGACACGTTGAGGATCCCGTTGGCATCAATATCGAACGTCACCTCAATCTGGGGGACACCCCGAGGAGCAGGGGGGATCCCTGTCAGTTCAAATTTACCCAGCAAATTGTTGTCTTTGGTCATGGCACGTTCTCCTTCGTAGACCTGTGGTGGGGCAAGATGGGTGAGAAGTTGAGATAAAAACGCGTGGGCAGCCCTGCTGGATCAGCAAGCCGCTGGCTGACGGGAAATCCACAAATGGGGCTTCAAGTGCGGGGGAGAGCTTGCTTAGACCTCCTGGTCTTGCTTTTACTTTGAACAGAACCCTGTTCAGAAAGCAGCGAGAAATATTTAAAAAGAAACCTAGGCCTTGGAAGGGTCCCAACTCTCCTTCCCTGCCCCCTTTGCAGCTGCTGAGCAAAGACGCACGCTGGCTAGGCTCCAAGATTAGAGAAGCAACCTTGGAGCAGAACAGGGAACGTTCCAGTGGGCTGGGAGGGGAGGCCAGCAACGAAATATCTGAGCCTCTTTCCTTCCACCTCCGCAGCATCCCTTCTTAGACTGGCTGAAGATCCTGCCTAGCGAGTCCCACCAAAGACAGAGGATGGGAGGACTTCTTGGCACAGCTCTTCCTCCCGCTCTGCTGGCTTCAGCTTGGCAGGGAGTAGGAATCTCAAGTCTCTGAGTTTGGAGATCCCTGAGCTAGAAGGGCATTCTGGACAGGATGGGGTCCTAAGTGGAGGTTGTTTCACAAAACTGCTGCTGCGGCTTCTTGCTAACTATCCGGAGCCTGCTGGCTTTGGTGTTTGGCAAAACGGGGCCATCACGAGCCTTTGTGGTGCACAGCCTTCCACCTGAGCGCTACCCCATTACAGCATCGTCGGGGCATGGCACAGATGCCCGCACGCACCTGGATGAGGACCCCTGGCTGGTTGTCGGAGTAGGTGGTGAAGGTCTGGGTCTGCTTGGTGGGGATGGTGGTGTTGCGCTTGATGAGGGCGGTCATCACCCCGCCGGCCGTCTCGATGCCCAGGGACAGGGGCGTGACGTCCAGCAGCAGCAGGTCCTGCACGTTCTCGGATTTGTCCCCACACAGGATGGCAGCCTGGACAGCTGGAAGGACAACGCGGCACGTCAGGGCGCAGAAGAGCCAACCAGCAAGTGGCGCGTGTGAAACACTCTGGGGAATCTAGCCCTTTGGATCCTATTTCCCCCTCCCCACCAAAAAAAAGATCCTTCCAGGAAGGCTCCCGGAAGACGCCACTCCACTGCTGTTGATGCTCCACAGCCGATGCCTCAGGGCTAAACCACACGCTACAGCAAATGCGCAAGCGTGCAGCAGAACGCCACTGTACCGCTTAGTTTTGTGCAAGCGTGCTGGGCCCCGATCCACGCTGGGACTGCCACAGACAGCTAGGTGGGAGACGTTCAAACCTTCCCTCCCAGCCCTCATGTCTCCCCTTCCTCACTCACGCACCGTGGGGACTCAAAGGAAAAGTTTCCCTCCATCAGTGCCGATAAAGGATTTTTCCTTCTGTGTGTGTGTGTGTGTGTGTGTGTGTGTGTGTGTGTGTGTGTTGTTTAACCGGAAGCAACACAGGACAAGTGGGTGCAGAAGCACACTGGGTGAGGCAAAGATGTCAGGAACCAGCGCAGGCCACAGGCCACCTCCAGGCTAAGGGGTCCGTGTCTCCAAGCCGGACCCACCTCACAGTACCTGCTGGACAGGCCAGAGAGGTGCAACAGGGCCATTCCCACCTCTGGCACGCACTTTCCTTTCCTGCAAATCACCTCAGGATGAGCAAGTTGTTGAAACAAGACAAATCCGCTGATCCCCTTTTGCAGAAATGAGGGCAGGGAGATCGTACACTCTAGGATTTCTAGCCTAGTGCCCTCCAGGTGCCACTTGCTGGGGCATGCTGGGAGTTGTAGGCACCTGGAGGGCACCATGTGGGGAGACACCTGTGTACCCCTTGGCATCTTCCCTTTCAAAAGCCTTGGAAGGCTGCTGCCTGTCAAAGCAGAGAGCATCAGGCCAGAAGCCCACAGGGGACCAAGACATTGTCCAATGACCACTCCTCTTATGCCAGCCTCAATTCCCTGAACAAGAAGCAGGTGATCCAGCATCCGTCAGGTATTTTGGGCAGCGGGTTCTATGCTCATTGGCTGCTGGACTAATGTGAATCGTATTCCAAAGCGCCTGGAGGGCTTGAGGGCTCTTATTCCTGCTCTGAAAGAATATTCTGGCCAAGCACGGCAGGAACGGCTCACAGTCACCCTTCCTGCACAACCCTTAGAGATGCAGCCTTGCCGTCATCGCCATCCAAGGAGCAGGGGAGGGGCCTTCCTACAGCGAGCTTCCACGAGCATCTCCAAGGAGCTCAGCGGGTTCCCCCTTACTCTGCTCCAACCCCTCTACCCGATTCCGCTCTCGGGTGCAGCCCTTTACCTGCTCCGTAAGCCACCGCCTCATCGGGGTTGATGCTCTTGTTAAGCTCCCTGCCGTTGAAGAAGTCCTGCAGCAGCTTCTGGATCTTGGGGATGCGGGTTGAGCCCCCCACCAGCACGATGTCGTGCACCTGGGCCTTGTCCAGCTTGGCGTCGCGCAAGGCCTTCTCCACGGGCTCCAGGGTCCCCCGGAAGAGGTCTGCGTTCAGCTCTTCGAAGCGGGCCCGGGTGATGGAGGTGTAGAAATCGATGCCCTCGTAGAGGGAGTCGATCTCAATGGAAGCCTGGGTGGAGGAGCTGAGGGTGCGCTTGGCCCGCTCGCAGGCCGTGCGCAGGCGCCGGACGGCCCGCTTGTTGTCGGTGATGTCTTTCTTGTGCTTGCGCTTGAACTCCGACACGAAGTGGTTCACCATGCGGTTGTCGAAATCCTCGCCTCCCAAGTGGGTGTCCCCTGCGGTGGACTTCACCTCGAAGATGCCGTCCTCGATGGTCAGAATAGAGACGTCGAAGGTGCCGCCGCCCAGGTCAAAGATCAGAACGTTACGCTCGCCGCCCACCTAGCGAGACGGCATTCGAACCATTTAGGAATCGCACCCCAATCTGAGGGACTTCCTCGTCTTCCTTCTACCACCTGATGCAACATTTCACTGTGAACTGAACTGTGGTTTATACTAGGGCGAGAAACTAAAATAGGAGCAGGGAGCTGGATGACCCTGACAAAACGATGGCCAACCGGGAGGGCGAGAGCCTGCAAAGCAATCTCCCATCATGGAACAGAAATAACAGCAGGGACTGCTTTTCCTACTAGTCCTGGCAGGGCGGGAATGAGGGGAAATGGCTCAGCGGGGGTCTGGAGGCCAGCTCAGTGGGCTGCACTGACCTAAGAGGTTCCTCATCCCTGGTTATAAACCCTACTCCTGAAATCATTAAGCTGCTACAGATACCAGCGTGGGTTGTCCATCAGCAAGGCCTCCAAAAATTGCTAGGAACAGTGGTGACAGGACAGTGCTGAGAGACACCCGGGTTCCTCCCGTCCAGCCTTCTCCACCCTGGTCTTCTCCAGAGTTTTGGGCTTCAGCATCCATCAGGCCCAGCCAGCAAGCCCAGCAGCCAGGAATGCTGGGGACAGCGGCCAAAAACATCGGCGGTGTAGAGTAGGGAAGCCGGCTTAGACCCTCACAATCCCATTCTGTGCTGATGCCTCTGGCCTCCATCTCCCTCGCGCTTTGAACTTGGGAGCCCCGGTGCGTCTCACCTTTTTGTCCAGCCCGTAGGCGATGGCTGCAGCGGTGGGTTCGTTGATGATGCGGAGGACGTTGAGGCCGGCGATGGTGCCCGCGTCCTTGGTGGCCTGCCGCTGCGAATCGTTGAAGTAGGCCGGGACTGTGATGACGGCGTTGGCAATATTCTGTGATGCAGAGACGAGAAGAGGTCAGGGAAGCTGCGACCCTTCCTGTGTCCGCCACGCTCGCAGGAATCTCTGCATCGCACGGAATGCCTCCCTGCAAGCCTTTTACCTCTTCAGTCTCTTCTACAAGAAGGGTCCCCATTTCAGTCCACAGTGGGCAAAACTCTCTCCCCTTACTGGAAACCCAGTGCCAGGTTGGCCAAGACTAACCTCCCCTATGCAGCTGCCTCTGGGAGTGTTGGACTACCGCTCCCATCACTGCCCACCCGGCTGCCCACCAGCCACTGCACCGCCGTGACGTACCTTGCCCAGGTAGGCCTCCGCGATTTCCTTCATCTTGGTGAGGACCATCGAGGAGATCTCCTCTGCGTAGAAGGTCTTTGTCTCGCCTTTGTACTCCACCTGCACCTTGGGGCGGCCTGCGTCGTTGATCACGCAGAAGGGCCAGTGCTTCATGTCGGAGTGCACCACCGGGTCGTCGAAACGGCGGCCGATCAGGCGCTTCGCATCTGGGGGGAGGAGGAGGAGGAGGTGGCAATGGGGAGGAGCGGCCAGCCACAAACCAGCAGGGGCCGATCGCTTGCGCGGGAAGTGCGATGCCGGCCCCAGTGGGACCAGGGGCTGCCCTTCTTTCAGAAGGAGTAGCTGGCACACAGTCCATCCTCTCCGCCCCCCTGAGAGGTCTACTGGGATGGCTCCCTGGAAGACGCTGTGCCAAGGGGGCAGTGTGAACCGTTCAACGTCCCACTGGGGCCGTCACCTCCTGCATCCTGGCAGTGGACAATTGCTGGGGCTTGAGCGCTGCTGAACACTGAAGAACAGCGGAGGTCCTCCTGCAAGGGTGAAGCTCCGAGCTTCACGCCTCGTTCCTGCAATGAGGAGGCTCATGCCGGGTCTCCTCCGACCCTCCCTGGCTTCCTCCACTGGCAACCTCTGCAGTCCAGGAAGACATCCATGCATGAGGTGCGCACTGGGAAGCCCCGCGACTGGAGAGCCAAGGGTACCAGCCCTGGTTGGCTGGTTAGTGGAGAATCTGCCTTATTTCATCAACACCCGCTTAGGAAACCTCCCGCGATCGTTCCACCAGGGGGTCCAGATCTTTCGAGTTATCCTCCAACTGAGGGAGGTGCCTCGGCTGGACAAGGTGCTGGGGCGATCCGCCAAGCTGGTGCTCCAGGGACGGCAAAGGAACCCCGGAAGGCCCCCGCACACTCCTTACCGAAGACGGTATTGGTGGGATTCATGGCCACCTGGTTCTTGGCGGCATCCCCGATGAGGCGCTCCGTGTCCGTGAAGGCCACGTAGCTGGGGGTGGTGCGGTTGCCCTGGTCGTTGGCGATGATCTCCACCTTGCCATGCTGGAAGACGCCCACGCAGGAGTACGTGGTCCCCAGATCAATGCCTACAGCTGGGCCCTTGGACATCCTGGCTGCAAGAGAACATGCACCCAGCATTAATACAAGGTCTGGAGGACGGCCAGTGTGTCCTGCTCGGGGGAAAACTGCCCCAGTTTTGAGGTTCTGCTGTACCCCCAGGTAGGACAGGGAAGGCACCATCTAAGTTCCTGAGAGCCATTGCTAATTCACGCAGACCATCCATGCCCAATCAGGTGGCCCCCACATGTGCTGGGCTACTACCATGTTGGCTGGGGCATGCTGGGAGTTGTAGTTCAACACAGTAGGGAAGGCTGACATAGCTTAGTACAAGGCTAGTCTGGTGTTTACTCTCCACCATTCCTCATGGCCAGGAATCCAGGGAAAAGTTTTGCCCTCTACAGGCAACCAACCTGGTACCTGCCACTTCTTTTGGACTACAACTCCCATCAGCCTCTGCCAGCATCACCAGTGGTCAGAAAGCTAGGGGTTGTAGTCTAATACATCAGGCTGGCAAGGCGGATTCTAATGAGATCCCCCAACTTTGCTACTCCATCCTATGCAAACCAGAAGTACCAGGTCTCCAGCTCTACGCTCCAGACTTCGAATGCACCCCTAAAAGCAGCAGAGCAAAACCAAGCAAGTGAATTCCAAGGTCCTACATTCAAACATCAGATCTGTCGGTGACTTGCAAGCTGGCCGTCATGTGGCCTCTCTACTCCCATCTGTAGCATGGACATAATGCTGACCTACTTTATAGGGCTACTGTAAGCACTGCCAAGAAAGCATTCAAAGTACTTCAAGTATTTAACATGCCCCACAAAGATTAACTGTCAATATGCCTTCATATGAAAGCAGGAAGGATAATAGATGATGGACACTCTTCAGTTTTCCGCTTTTCTTTCAGCAGAGAAGGCTGTTCTTTGTTCTCCAAAACAAGGAAGAAATTGGAATCCAAACCATCTTTGCATTCAAATGTGGTTTTGAATTGCATTCCACTTGGTTCTAGGATTTGGTGCTTCCCTGCTTGAGTTTCTGCAGCTGGGCAGCTATCTTAAAGGGAAACTAAAGGAGATGCTATTCGTGCAATTAGCAACTCTACAAATGGCTATTTAAAAATAAGTTTTGGATAAGCGGGGGCGGTTCTCGCCTTGCATCCTTCACCCTCCCCCTGTGGTTCAGTCTGGGGGACTTTTCTGTGTTAGTCGTGCTAGCTTTACTGCTGATCAAGACAAGCAAGCTGGAACACACCGCATCAGGACACAAAGGGTTAAAACCCTCTCGCACCCCCCTCCCCAAATTGCAATCCAGACTGGGCCATTTCCTTTTAAAGTTATTTGCGGCTTCTTGTCTCACTCCATTCTTATTCTGGCTTGCAGAAAGGAAGAGAATGTGGATCTAAATATTACATATCCTGCCTTTCCTGCCCCCCACTCGGGGGGGGGGACCCTAAGGTGGCATACCACCCCCCCCCTCCATTTTATCCTCACAACAACATCCTACACGTTTAAGTTAGGCCGAGAGTCAGTGTTCTTCCTGAAGTCACTTAATAAAGTTCAGGTCGAAATGGGGACCAGAATCCAGATCTCTCAAGTCCCAGTCCTGCGCTCTAAGCACCACCCCATACTGGCTTTCCAAGCAAATGAACGAGATACACACCAAAAACAGAGATAATATTTGGGGCTGGGGAGCAACTCTTAGCATGCTCTTCTTAAAAAAAAAAAAAAAACAAAAAGAACTCAAAATCTATGCATGGGTTGTAGCCTCCAATGGAAGTTTTTGAAATAAATCTTTGGGAAAAAAACGTGCATGAGTAGTATGAGACAAACTTTCCGCTCCTGTTTGTAGAAAAGTATGCACAGAGGCGAGGAGACATTTGATTTAAAATTAAATCAAGCAGAAAGACTCAAGAGGGGGCAGGAGGAGGGGATGGAAGAACTGATGCAGCAGCTTGCTTGGGCCCCTGTAGCTTCAGCAGGTGCCCAAGGGCAGCCATGCAAACAGCCTCCCAGACTGGGGCTTCAGGAGCCGGTGGATCATCTCGTCATCTCACACTGGTGCCCTACTCCAGCTGTGGAAGGGCTGAGATTGCGTTTGGGCCAAAGTAAGAAGCCTCTTTAACCTCTCAAAACAAAGATGCAAAAGCCTAGAAATGCTGAAGCACTCTGCACATGCCCAGGAATACTTAGGTGCATAATAGCCCTAACTGTGGAAGAGTTCGAGCATCTTCAAAACAGAGATGCTAAAGGATGCACTGGTTAAAAATACAGAAGTGGTTTTTAAAATACCTAGCTAAAGAGACTGCTGCATTTTCCTAAGACAAAGATTCTTTTCTACTCCCTTTGCCAAAGGAGCAAGAACCAGCAATTTATCTCCGTGAGAGATAGCTGTCTATTGAGGCAAAAGTGCGCAAGCATGTCTTATCAGTCCTGCTGGCTTTCCACTACGCCCTGTCCTGGACTCAGAAGCCAAGGGGTGGATCTCAGGGAAGCGCCTTGGCAAGGGAGACGGCAGGATCAGACCCAGTTTGCCAGCTCAGAGCCAGGCTTCGGAGTCCTGGCGAGAAGGGCATGGCTCGCTGCACGAGATAAAACGCTCGAGAACAAGCCCGGTGACTCCCAGAGCCACCCTGTGCCTTGCCCAGCTGTGCCCCATTATCGGGAGCAGCCAAAGGGCTGGCGCTAGTGCAAACAGCTGCCGGGCGGCTCCGCTGCACTTTCCCCCCACTCCCTTCTGCTGCAGCACAGATCTTTCTAGAACTGTCCAACTGGGAGGACTCAGAGACTGCGGCGGAGAGAGATCGGGAGACTGCAGCAGGCGGCGGAGGAAACCAAACCGCCACGGAGGGAGCTCTGGAAAACAGCCCTTGCTCTCGGGGCTTTCAAGACAGCTTTGACCCCAACCTGCCTTCCTCCCAGATGCAAACTACAACCTAGAATCATAGAACCATAGAGTCAGAAGAGGCTAGCACACCCACTGGCGGGAAGCTCCGACTGTTGCAGGACATCTCTCCATGTCCTCTGGCTGCGGAAAATGGGAACTGTAGTCTAATGCATCTGAAGACTCTGCTTCCAGGGCCACCTTCTTAAAGCCACTCTCCAGAGTTACTTTCTCCCCAGTTTTCTGGGCAGCCCAGAACCTTAGACATTTTAGGAATAGAATCTAGATTATATTAAGTCAGTCTATCCAGCCTGGTATTGCGAACACTGGCAGGCTGTTTGAGGAGTTTTTCCGGCCCTAGTTGCAATGCAGGGATTTGAAGCTGTGATATTCTGCATATAAACCGGGGATTTATCACTCAGTGGTGGTCCTTCCTAATCTATTTCTTTAACCCTTGGCAGGAAAGCAACAGAGCTTAGCCGGAACAGCACCAGGTTTGAATGACAAATATGAGGTCCAGAATAGGCAAGTGCCTCTGAGGATAGTTAAGTGTCCTGCCCTCGTCTTTGTGCAGTTAGCATTCTGCAAACATCTGGCGCTGAGCACGGGGACTCAGGGAAACTTTCGTGTTTGCCACAAATTCTAGGTTTGTTTCCCAGAACCCACGGGGCTCGGCCGGGGAAGGACTCGGAGACCCAAGTTCAAATCCCCACTGATCTATCACATTCACAGCATGATGTTCTTTCCCCCTGGCTTTCCTCAGGCACATGTTGTGAAAATAAAGGCTGGCACAAGGGGAGGAGAAATATATGAAAACAGCTGATTTCACAGAAAGGGAAACTTGAGTACTCAGCTGGGGGACAGGAGTTGCCATGATCCAAATGCTGTTGGGCTGCAGCTCTTTACTGTCCCTTGCTATGCACGGTAGAGTGGACGGGAGCTGCAGGCTGCAACATCTGGACAGCCACAAATTGGGCACCCTTGATCTAAACCTATTTACTGAAGAGTAGGGAAAAGAAGAGATGCCAGCTCCTTTCTTTTCACACTGTATGCCAACAAACAAACAAACAAACAACTTACTAACAACTTACTGGTTACCTGAAGGAGCGCTTACATCCATATACACCCGCCTGCCCCTTGAGATCTGTGAGAGGCCCTTCTCCGGGAACCCTCCGTGAAGGAAATTAGGAAGGTAGGTACTCGGAGGAGGGCTTTCTCTGCGGTGGTGCCCAATCTATGGAATGCACTCCCCAGAGAGGTCCGCCTGGCGCCGTCGTTATTTGTTTTTCGGCGCCAGGCAAAGACCTTTTTATTTAAACGTCATTTTAATTGTTAATATTATTTGCTTATTTTATCTGGCCAGGGCGACTTATTTTATATTATTTGTTTTATATTTTGAATGTATTATTATTTTAATTTTATCTTGTGAGCCGCCCCAGGCTTCGGCGAATGGGGCGGCATAGAAATGTTTTAAATAAATAAATAAAAAATAACAGACTTGGCTCCCAGAATGCCCCCTCACCAGAAGAAGACAGAACTATATGCACAACTGATGGAACAAGGTAAGACACTCCATCCTTAAAGCCTCATCAAATCTTCCCCAGGGTAAATACAGTCAATATTCATAAGGAATCCAAGTTAAAACTTCCGTCTCCTGGTTCAAGAGGTCACGTGGCCAACTTCCCCAGTCCGTCCACTGTTACGCTTCCAGTTGCAGACATTAGCCAGTGATGATAATGCTTAAGCAGTTTCTGCTTTCCTGATCAGCTGGAAACTCTTACCCAAATTTCTCAGTTTGCACATTACTGAATAACTAATATTCTAAAGAATAGAATCGAATACGTAACAACCCATTGCCAATTGCGCACCTGCTAACAGGGAACTATTTATGGACCTACAGGCAAAACACCTTTTTATACTCTTACATCTGTTGCCCCATGTTACTCATTTGAGAGTTGTTTTTAAATCTGCTCTGGTGTATTTATCTATTCAATTAGGGTGTTTCAATTTGCTTTTGTCACAATTGTGGACATCAGACACGTTTTATTTTGATAACTTAAAAAAGACACATTCGGTGAGAACAAACAAACCATCCTGCAGACAGAGTTCAGAATCATTTTTGTGGTGGATGGAGTGCTTTAACCCCAGCTAGAGTTATAGCTTTACTTCTGTACTGCTCCTCGTCTGCAGCTCTCCAGTGGTTCGCAAAGCCACGCAAAAAAATGCAAACCACCCATTTCAAAAAGCCACGCCAGAAAAGGGGAGCGAAGGTCGCACCCACCGTGAGATATAGAAAAGGTATGGCTCGATTCCTCGCCCGGCTTCTTTTGCTCTGGAAGTTGTCTTGCGGCTCTCCGAGCAGAAACACGAGGCTGTGCAAAAGGCCTCTTTGGAAGGACTCGCGCCCGCCTCCCACTCGGGGACCTGCCAGCCGCACGCGCGGACGTGCAGCTTTCCCCAACACGGCGCACCCCAGATGTGCCAGCCCGCGACTCCCAGCCCCTCCCCGCCCGCCTGCAGTCCGACACATCTGGAGGGCAGCACGCTGCGGGAGGCTGGCCTGGAGACCGGCCTCCGATGGTAAATTTCCAGGGCAAAAGCTACGCAGTGCTTTATTACGACACAGCAAACCTACAACTTTTTTTTTTGCATTTCCGGAGTTCAAGCAAGCACAACGGAGGCTGCGCCCCCGCCTCTTGCGCAGTTTAAGCGCCGCCAATTTGCAAGAGACCGAGATCCAGGCGCGTCGCTCAAGGCAAATGCAGACGTGACTTGTTCAAACGCGCATCTTCTTCTTTTTTTTGCTTTTCTCTCCGGTTTTACGAAGAGTGAGTCCCAAGGGTCCAACCTGGATTGCAACTCCAGGAAGTGAGGAAACTGTTAAGAGCGCTATACCAACTCTAGAATAAACATAGCTGACTAAATACGCATTTTATGTGATGGTTGTGTTGGCCCTTTTGAGCCGCGTGCCGTAAAACTCATTAGCGCTTCTTTTTAAGCAAGGACGCTTACGTCAGGACCGAGCTTGCAAGTTTGCTTTATGTTGCAGGAGAGCACCTCGTAGGAAATAACGTTTCCCCAGCCCGTGGAATATAAATTTCCTAAACTGGAAATGCTACCGCCCTATTTCTAAGCCGAGATCCCGCCGAGCCCTCTTTCCGCCCTGCGCTCCTTTGCGCTTGCAGCCCCGACGCTGCCGCGGTGGAAGAGCTCTCTGCACTGTGCTCAGAGACGCTCTTGCCACCGCAGTTTCTGGAAGGGTCCCCACTCTTGAAAGCACGGTCCGCGGCTCCGGGTAACCCCCCGCCCCCCCGCCAGGCAAAAAATGCGACAACCCAAGCGAGGACGCACTTCGCTCCGCTGCAGAGGCGACCTGGCAGAGAGGTCGCAAGTCACGGATCCCTCCCGAGCGGGGGAAGGAGGGCGACCGACCAGGTGGCGGAGCGGGGGCGGCCGGCCGGCGCCCGCCCCCGTCCCGCTGCAAAAGCAAGCGGCGCCGCGCCAGCAGCGGCTCCTTCCTGCCGGACGCTTGCAAAGGGTACCTTGTCGACACCGCAGCCGCCTTCCTCTGGCGCAAAAGCAGCAAGAGAAGCCCGGGGCGGGGGAGCGAGCGCGATCCACACGGCTTTCCGCGCGCGTCTCTGATCCCCGCTCGCCCGCTTTTCCGAGACTTTATACGGCGCGCCGGCCCCTCCCGCTCGGCCAGGACCCCCCCCCCCCAGGGCGCTGACACTTTGCAGAAGCTTCTCGATTTGGCTCCTGTCCTCGTCCAATCCGGCCCGGGCTGGGCCCGTCCGTCAAGGGCCGAGGGGCGGGGCCACGCGGGCGGGGGCGGGGCCGCGCTCCAGCTGTCGCCATTCGCTCGTCTGGACGGGCTTGAGCCTCGCCTGGAACCTTCAAGAAGGCGAGCGGCGCGCTGCGCCCCCTATCGCGCGCCCGCGGGGCCGGCCCCATGCTTTCGCTATAAATACATTTCTCGGGGGCCGCGTTGCTGCCCTGCAAGCCATGGGCTCATGTTCTAATTTTACCCCGCCGGGGTGATTATTTCGAGGGAAAGGGCAGGCGGCAGCTTCCACGAAACTTGGAGGAGCTCAGTTATCATTAGGGGAAGGGGAGGGGGTGCCATGTTAGATTGCTGGAGACCGCAAAGTTGATGATTAACCCCTGGAGGGGAGTTGCAGAAGAAGGGATAGAGCAGGACAGGCTTTCAACCAGTGGAGCAAAGGTTATCACTGAACATGTGCAGAATGCCTGTCCGAAGTGACGTCCTTAGGCTGCCAAAAAGCCATGAAGTTTTCTGCTGGGGTTGCTTCTTTTCTGGTTAGTGAAGGCAAAGCCACTGGGGAATGTTAGCCAGCTCCCAGGCTGTATGCCACAAGATGAGAAGGCAAAACTCTCCGGAGAAGCCCATCCTGCTAGGGAAACTAGAAGGGAGAAAAGAGGGAGGCTGACTGTGAGATGGATTGTCCTCACAAAGGAGTCTGCAGTCTAGGAGTTTCAAGAGCAGAGCAGGGCTGTCTTTCATTGGGCTGCCAAAAGTCAGAGACAACTTGACGGCAAATAACGGGTGTTGCGCATTATTAGAAAAGATCGTGGTCTGTAAAATGTGTGAACCAAACCTAAAAGCATTAAGCTATTTGATTCAGGGTTATGCATTCATTTTGGAGGGAGCAGGAACTCCTCCCCCCTCTGTGACAAACAGAAGATAGTAGGCACTGGCTCTCATTCATTCTGCCCCAAGCATTGGTTCAGAATGTCAGCTTCCTCCCCTGTATTAGATAAGCCGGAGAGTAGAGCTAGGTATTCTCCCCACATTTGAAACTCATCAGCTCAAATTCTTTTGGATAGCCTCTAGAGATCTCCACAGCCACAGACCCCTACAGTATCTTCTGGCACTGACCAAGTAAGAGCGGAAAAATCTGTAAGACAGGACCCCCAAAGTCAAACACGGCCAGCCCATCCAGAAGAAGACCATGGTTGATGGCAGAAGCTGCTGCAAGATCCAAACGAACAAAAGGAATCTCATTCTGCCTGTCCATCTCAACATAGGTTGAGGGCACAAGGCAGCCAAGGCAGTTTCTGTTCCCAAAGTTAGGCTTAAAGCCAAACTGAAATGGATAACAGACTGCAGTTAAGATCAGTCACATGTCTACAGCTTCCCAAACTAGTCTGGCCTTGAAAGACTTTTAGTCCTGAAATGCATTTATGGAACCAATAAGGGCTGGTTTGCGGGTCCTGGAATATTCCTAGAATAAAAGGGTGGTTGAGAAATGTTGGAGCAACATCAAGGAAATTAAGATTATTTTTGTTCTGAAAAAATAATTCCACTTCATGCTCAAAGGGAGATCTGATTCTTTGAATTTTGGAAGGCATTGTTTTGTATCTCACACAGAGCTAGCAAAAACAGAAGCAAAAATGACAGAACTGAAACTGCCATAATTTGGGCACATGAGAAGGCAAGATGCATTGAAGAAGATAATCATGCTAGAAGAAATTAAAGGCAGAAGAAAATGAAGAACGATGAGATGCATTGATTCCATCAAGGAAGCACAGCCTTGCGTTCACAAGAGCCGAGTGGGACTGTCAAGGGCAGAACATTTTGGAGGGCTTCCATTCATAGGGTTGCCCTAAGTCCGAGATGACTTGATAGCACATAGCAACAAGTATTTCTATTCATGTTTAATTCTATAAATGTTGGAAGCCACACTGAGTCTTACAAATAGAAATAGAACTGCACCGGAGCTGTAAAACCATTTTGGAAAAACTTCCCCCATTCGGAGCTGACGTTGCCTTCGCCTCTCTCCCACACAAAGCATCTGTAACGCAAATTAATGAGCACACAAACGTGAATGGCACTAGGGCACCTGCTTTTGTGCCTACAGAACAGCCCCTGTGGCTTTGCACCAAAGCCGGCTCTCTTGCCATCTGCAGCCGGAGTCTGTACCCTGCACAGCTCCAGACAAAGAGTCCGGCCAAATACAGCACACATGTGGTACAGGTTATATTTTGACAGGGCTGCATGCTTGTTTGTTTGTTTATTAGCTCTATATCCCAGTTTTTCCTTACAACAAACTCAAAGTGGCTTACGTCATTCTCGTTCTCAATCTGATCCCCACAACAGCAACCCTGTGAGGTAGGCTGGGCTGAGAGTCTGTGACTGGCCCAAAGGCATCCAGCTGGCTCCATGGTCGAGCAGGGACTAGATCCCAGATTTCTTGAGTCCCACCCTCACACTCTTAACCACTACACCACACTGCCTCTCAAGGTTGCCCATAATTGCCCCAGGAGGTAGATCTGCTCTGTCTTCCTCACTGGAGTTCATGTTACTTCACAGTAACAACCTTTTCAAGATATAATACTATTCCGCTAATATTTTGGATCCATACCTGATTTCATATTTAGTAGGGGCTTTTGGGAGGGAATTTTGCCAGTGTCAGCATTTTCTCATTGGAGACCTATTCACCTCATGCAAATACAACCTGGGACACATCGGAAGAAAACAAACTCTGGAACGATCGATCCTTGCCTGGCATTCTTCAGGTGTACATTGCCTCCACTGCACAAAAGCATCCTTCAGGTGCCACCTTCCTTCCGAAATCCAGTCTTGCTATGAAGCAGCAGGCAAAGGATTCCAGTGGTGTCCTGACCTTCTTTAGTTCTGCTTCCAGCCTCCGTCTGTCTCTGTGCATCACTTTGAAGGAAAAATGGGGGGCTTTTATTTCAAGGTCAAAAATAGTTAAGGGCCAAGCTATGTCTGTCCAATATGCTTTTATTTATAGGAGGGAAAAACAGCTACTGGGTCTCAGTCTGGAATAAACGCTAAGCCAAAATCAGAAGGCTAGGCCTGCTTTCTGCAGAAAACACCTCCCCGCCCCCCAATAAAAAAAAATCTGGCTTGCTCAAAAGGTGCTACTTGCAGGAAATTGTGCTTTGGGTGGCAAATTGTACCCAAAAAGGCACAATTGTGCCTGTTTGTTGAAAAAGGGAACTAACAGCCCGGGACACTGGGCCCCAAAGCTGGTATTATTCCTAGCATCCAAGAGAGGCATCCCAGCCTCAGAGATGCCCAATAAAGCAAAGTGGCCTTGCTTTACCTCTCCTGACCTTCCCAGCTGGTGTAAGCTGAAGCCACGGAAAGGGCTGCCCGCTCTTTGCATGTGATTCTTGGCACTACCGTGACTTGGCATTTTACAGAGATCGACTGATGACATTTGAGATTGCCATTCTTGTCTCTCAACCACAATGACAAAAGCATCAGAGAACAAGATACAGGCTAGATGTATCTTGTGTCCTGTGTGCCTGATCCTGATCCTTGTGAGTTCAGAAGTACCTACGTCCAAGAGAGCAGTGTTACTCAGAGGCAGAAAGCTGCAGTTAGACACCCATTGTGGCAGAGATCAGCGAGACTCCAGCCTCTGGTGCTGCCGTCCTTTTTAAAACACCACCTAATATGGAAGATGTGCCAAGAACAACAGGGAAAGTTCTGGCTGGAATTGATGTAGGACTCGCTTGCTTGTCTTTGTTGGTTCTGACAGTTTGCAAAACAGCGTGTTTTAAATGCATCCATTTTCTTCCCAGCAGCTTATTGCACTGATGCGAGAGACTTCACTAATGCAAGGGAATCGCTAAAAGCAGTTTGTGGTAAGACTTATGAGCCAGCAGCTTCTTTCTGCCAGGCTCTGAGGTAGAACGTACTGCAGCATTCATTCAAAAAGCTCTTTACAGTTTGCATTTCAGATACCCCAGGGAGCACCTTCTTCCATATGTCAGTATCCTTGCACATACCGCGTTCCAGAATACACAATGTACTAGCAATGCTTCATATTGTAAAACTGATGATTATACCTGAAGCATTAAGATACTTCAGATGGTGCAAAATAGAGCTGCCAGGCTGCTGACAGGGACAGGGCGTTGTGCTCTCATGACTCCAGTCCTCCGTCAGCTTCACTGGCTCCCCATTGAAGTCCGGGCCCAATTCAAGGTGCTGGTTATCACCTACAAAGCCCTTAGCGGCTCGGGACCTGGTTACCTAAAGGAGCGCTTGCGTCCATATGTGCCTTCCCGCCCCTTGAGATCGGCGGCAGAGGCCCTTCTCTGGGAGCCCTCCGTGAAAGATATTAGGAGGGTGAGTACCCGGAGGAGGGCTTTATCTGTGGTGGCGCCCAACTTATGGAACGCGCTCCCCAGAGAGGTCCGCCTGGCGCCGTCATTATTTGTTTTTCGGTGCCAGGCCAAGACCTTTTTATTTAAACGTTATTTTAATTGTTGATTTATTGATTTTAAATTTTTTTGCCAGGATGTCTCCAGTATTTTATGTATTTCTACAGATTGTATTTATTTATGGAAGCCGCCCTGAATGGGGCGGCATATAAGTTTTCCAAATAATAAATAAATAAATAAATATAGAACTGCAAGTAGAATGCCTTTCTAGAAGTAATTTACCTAAGCCATTTTACTTGCAAGTCAATCCATATCTTGGTGTTGTTGTCGTTGTTAGTCACATCTGACCCATTGTGACCCCATGGACAACATTCCTCCAGGCCTTCCTGTCCCAATCCATGTCTACTTAGATGTAAACTTGTGTTAAAACTGTAGTTATGACCTAGAAGATAATCCCATTAAACTCAGAGACTCTCTTCTGGGTAGTGGAGTATAGGCTTGCAATACCAAGTTGGGGAAATGAGGCTTGGAAATTGCTTTATTTAGATTTAACTGCAGGATATAAATTATATATATAATTGCCAGTCCTTTTCCAAATACATTGGTTGCCAGTTGAAGTCTGGGCCTGATTCGAAGTGCCAGTATTAGCATTCAGAGCTCTGAATGGCTTGGCGAGGAACTGCCTCGCCCCCTAACCCTAACCGTAAACTTTCATTTTTATATTGTATTTTTTCATGTGCCACTGCTATACCTCTGTATCGATTCTCTTGCAACTACTGTGGCTCTTGTCTTTTTGTTGTTATTCCTCGTATTCTTCTTGTTGTTGCTGCATGTTTTTAACTTTGTTAACAGCCTGGGCAGCTTCAGCGATTGGGCGATATAAAAACAGACGAAGTCTACCTAGCTGTTCAGAGTGGGGCATGCCTTGCCTTTCCGCATTAACCTACAAGCTGGCCAGCGTGTGCTCATGCTCTTTCTCTCTCTCAACTGTGTAACCTTAAGCATGTTTACTCAGATGTAAACCCTGCCACACACACTCCAGTTTAATGAATATTTTTTTCTGGAAAGGGGATACAGCACTGCAACGGATGATAGGTAACAGCGTAGTCCTGTGTTAGTTTACTTGGAGGTAAATCCCACTGTTGGTCAATGTTTGCATTTTTTTTACAATCTGCAGTTACTGCGTACTGCTGAAACTATTGTTTGATTGCTTTATGGGCTGTTTGATCATCGATCTGTTTCAAATATTGTTGAAATCTATAATAATAAAAATCATCAATCAACATTTCTGCGACAAACCGCAGACCTCCCACTAAACTGAATGTCCCGTCACTGGAGTAATTAAGGCTGCAATGCTTTACATGCTCGTCCGGTGGGTGTAAGAAGCATTGCACTCAATGGGGCCTACTTCCGAGTAGACGGGCCAGTTCTTGGAACCCAAACTCGGCGACAGAAGAGCCGCAGAAAAGAACGTCCCGCGCCCTCTCGCGGCAAATGCGCTATGCAACGTTCAGCGGCGCCTCGAACTGGCAGACCAGCCAATAGGAAAAGGAGGCGGCAGTCCGTCCTCCAATGAAAGAGAAGCTCTGCGATTGCCCTCGGCTCCGCCCACTCAGCGGTATGAGAGGCTCGTCACGTAGCCTGCGTTCGCGCTTCCCTTCCGTCCGTATTCTCGTCTCGCGATGCCTCGTGGTAACCGCAGTAACCCACGGCCTGGGATGGCGGCCTGGGGGCTTCGCGGGGGACTATGACGTCGGTGGCGCGCCTCCGCGTAAAGGCTGGCGGTGACACCAGGACGGCATGTTTTTTATTTTTATTTATTTACAGGAATTTTTAAATTTACTTTTTATTTATTTACAGAATTTACGCACTCTTCCAGCGTGGCGATTTTGGAGGTGTGAAAAGAATAAAACACTTTTTTTTTTTAAAGATCAGTGATACTGTATCAATAAAATGATGGCTAATGACATTAGGAAGTCTTCCTGGAATAAAAATACTTTCAAACGGTGCCAGAAAATTAATTAATGGTAAAGAAACAGGGTGGTGCATAGAAAGGGGCCACCACATTGAAGGCACTTCTCTGGGTAGACTCCAGCTGGGCCATCGGTCCATGCAGAACCACCAAGAACATGCGATCCAAGAACCTCAGTGACAGCACAGGTTGAAAAGACAGAAGGCACTTGGCAGTACGTTTACTTGTAAGTAAGGCCCACTCAGTTCAGTGGGATTGGTTGGCAAGTAAGGATGTATAAGGATGGAGCCTTTTGCCTCCTTCAGCTAATGGGAGGTTGCTGATGTGTGATGTACGCACTGGAATGAACAAGAAAGGAGTTTGTGGAACAAAGAAACACAAGTAAGGGAATCCAGAGAGAGAGAGAGAGAGAGAGAACTGGAGAGAGAGGCCAAACTAACTTGGATTGCTGGGTGCTACTGCAAGTCTGAGCCGAGAGTGAATTTGATACCCTGTAAAGGTGCACGTCATTTGCCTTATGTGCCGTTTTCACATGTGCTATTTCTTAAAACAAAGCTCTCCGTGCTTTCTTCCTAGAGCTATCCTGGAAACTTTTCACTGCTTGATTAAGTGTATGTGGGGAAATGCAGCAAGTCGCAACACATGCTCTGCGCTGATTGGTAATTTAACAAGGCAGCACTGGCAGTGGGCATGCACTGTCCCTTTGTCTTGAAGGCCGAAGTACCTGCATAAGTTTGAGCGATAGAAGAATCAAGCAGTTACTCCTGAATCGCTCCAACAGGAACATCAACTATTGTCCTGAATGCAGGATTGCTTTCACCTTGATTTCCGCCTCTCCGTTTATCTCAATTTCTCCCCTCGCCACAACTGAGAATATAATTTCGGGAAGGGCGGTGCAGGCCCCACAGGTGCATATTTAGGGCTTTTTTCCAGCTGAGAGGAAAACTGGCAACAGCGCAAGGAAGGCATCCTAGCAAGGCAAAGCTGTGCCTGCCGGCGGGCTGAACCCCGACGCGCTTTGCAGGGGGCAAAGCCGAGCAGAGGAAAACGTGCATCCGGGCCTTTGGCCTCATTTGCATACGACGTCGCCATAGGCTGCTCCTTTGTCAGGCTCGCCAACCAACGCGCTCCCCGCCTGGCGGCTTCACCTCCTTTTTATCAGGTAGTTTCTTTTGCTTTTCGTCCTACGGTCGATCGAAAGTACCGCCCGTCGCGGGTTTTCTTTTGTTTTTCCACGATTGATCTTTCTCCATTAAAATCAATTAGTGAAATTGTGAGTTCGGGGAGAGCGGGAGGCTGCGGAGGGGCGGGGTGTGTGTTTTGTGCTTTGGGACGGTCCCTCGTTCCTGCTATTGTTTTACACCCTCTGTGGCTCGCCAATTTATTTTTGCAATCCTTTCTAGTCGGATCGATTTTTTAAGATTTCCTTTAAGTTGATGCTTGTGTGTGACTTTAAATGCTTGTGTGTATTGAAAAACTAATTCTCAGATGTTGTAAGTTGGGATACAAATGACACCCTGCTGGTTTTGTTTTTTATTCTGTGGGCAGGGCGTATGTATGCAGGATGTGGTAGTGAAAGTGAAAGTATAAGCGAGACAGATGAGTAGGGTTAGGTCCCATTAAGGTTTAAATAATGGTTTAATAATGTAGTTTAAATAAGTGGTAGAAAATAAAAAGGAAGGACTCCAATCACAGGAAAATAAATTATACCTCCAGGTGCACTTTTTCAAATTAAAATTATTTTTTTTTAAAAAAATTAAGCCCAGTGTGTTTTTGAAATAAATTGCAATCGCATGTGGATATCAGCTAGAAATGAGATGTTCCACAGAAAGAAAAAGTATTTAAAATATATTGGTCTTTTTTAAAAAAAAGTTTCTTAAATGGAAACGTTTAACTTCTCTGCTACAGCCTTTCTTGATGCACAGCCTTAGAAAATACGAGACCACAAGCGGGACACAGCACGGGTGCAATGGCACCCTTGCTTGCTGTTGTGTTTCCAGCCCACAAGCCTTGAGAGGCACACTGCTTCTGGTAGTGGAGCTAATGCAGAGCCACCTTGCCTGAAAAAGCACGCAAGGGCTAATTTAAATGAACTACTTCTACACCAGAAATGATCTGCAAATAAACACAAGAGCTCCCTGGATTAGGTTCGTCTAGTCTAACAACCTGAGCTCAAGAGCTTGGTTGAGAGATTCTGAAAGCCTCATTCTTGTAAAAAGAAAAAAAAAAACCACGAGCCTGTTTAAAATTTGTGTATGGCAATCTGTTCCCTTTTTTGCATCCAGTGTAAAATGTCACTTCTTTTAACTCTAGAAGGAACTTGAAACTCAGCAGTTTAGCTGCTGTTTTGCTGGAGTAAGCAGATGTGGACAGAAAGAAACCTCATTTCCTGATTTTCTCTCATGCCTTTAGCAGAACGGCCACCATGGAGATCCCGGAGGTAGATCTCAAAGAGATGGGCTCCTTGATCCAATCCCGTGTGGTCCTGGAGGTGTCCAATCAGGTCCAGTCGCTCCTGGATTCCCTGGAGGCCACCACACTAGAGATTGCCGTGACGGGCGAATCGGGCTCAGGCAAGTCCACTTTCATCAACGCTTTGCTTGGGCTTCATGACGGTGACCACCGTGCTGCCGTTACTGGTGTGATTGAGACCACAGCCTGGCCCTCGCCTTACCAGCACCCTCGGTTGCCCAGGGTCCGCCTCTGGGACCTGCCAGGCACCGGCACCCCGTGCTTCCAAGCCGAGAGGTACCTGAAGCAAGTGGGATTCGAGAGGTACGACTTCTTCATCATTGTGGCATCTGAGCGGTTCCGGCAGAACCACGCTGAGCTGGCCCGTGCTATCGGTGCCATGGGCAAGCGCTTCTACTTTGTCCGCTCCAAGGTGGACCAGGACCTGCGGGCTTCGCAGAAGCGAAGGCCAGCGTGTTTCCAGGAGGCTCGGGTGCTGCGGGAGATAGAGGCAGATTGCATCCGCCATCTGAAGCAGGAAGGCCTGGATTCCCCCAAGGTCTTTCTGGTTTCCAGCTTTGAGTTGCACAGGTTTGATTTCCAGCGCTTGCAGGACACTCTGGCGGAAGAGTTGGAAGGCCACAAGCGCCATGCCCTGCTGCTTTCTTTCCCCTCCGTCACAGCAGCAGCTGTGCAGAAAAAGAAGGAGGCATTGCGCAGGCACATTTGGAAGAAGGCCTTGCTGGCGTGTGTGGTCTCCGCCATGCCTGGCCGCTCTCTCCACATCAACATCCCCATGATCATGAAGACGCTACACTCCTATCGCCAGAATTTCGGCCTGGATGAGGACTCCCTCGGGGCCTTGGCCGTCATGTGCTCAAAGACCCAGTGTATTCTGAAAACTCAGGTGTGTTCAGCATTAGGCAAGGATCTCTCAGAGAATGCTGTTCAGACCATCCTGAGCCAAGCAGCCCTAGGTGGGCAGGTGGCTGCCCGAGTGTTGAAGAACAGGTTGCCCTTTTTTGACAGCATCGTAGCCGGAGGCATCTCTTTTGTAGCAACCTATTACCTGCTGCATACTGCCCTGGACAGTTTTGCGCTAGATGCCCAGAGAGTCCTAGAAAGAGCGTATGGGTTGGAAGGTGAGGCCCGGGACTCCGTCTGCTGCCCTCCCAAACCTGGATTCATCTATGACTGAGGAGCAACCAAGAATGCACCCCAGGGAGCTTGGGGCCGATGGGCAGAAGCTCTTCTTTTATTGTCATGCCTGCACTTTCTGTCTGCTTTGGCTGAGCTGTTCAACCCACTCTAGTCCTTTCCTGTTCTTGGACCCCAACCCCCACCTTTCCAGCCAGGGTCGCTAAGGGGGCTTTCAGTCCGGCCCACCTGGAGGAAAGCAGGTTGGGAAGGGCTTCCCTAAAAAGTCTCTGTGTGCACCTCAGGGGAACAGTTGCACCAGTGCCCATTTCCTATGGAGGTTCTTCCTGCATTCAGTCCCCCTGGCCACCTCTTTTTGCATCCACACCAGGAAAGGCACAGGTGGGGGCAAGGCCATCAGGAGGGCCGGCGCCAGGACTGTGGCGGCTGGCTTAGTCTGAGTGGAGCCGAAAAGAGGAGGAGGTCTCTAAGCTGGCAAGCAGCGTCTCTTGTTCACAGGGCCTGATGTGTTGCTGTGCAGGTGTGGCTTCAAATCCACCTGCTCAGGTTGATAACTTCTCTGTACCTCTTTGCTTAATCTCAGCAGAGGCCGGATTATACATCCTGGATCGTATTCCGTTAGAGACTTATTTTCATAAATAGAAATAGAAGTTCATGTGAGCAGCAGTATTGCTATGGCTATTTCCAGAGGATCGAATAACACCTTCAGGGGGCATTCTCAGCACACCTGATTCATGGATGCAGGCACTGAGCTCTTCCTTTGATACAGATGCAGTAATGTCCTTCTTGTGCAAATGCAAAACCGACGGGCTTTTTTGTCTTCCTGTGCCAGCACTTAGAAGGTATTGAGCAGCATTTTTAAAAGAGTAATCTAGATTTGCTAACTAATATACTCAGAAATAATTTATGGTGCTCCTAATTTGACTTGCCATATATATATATATTTCCAAATATGCCACATGTATTTCCAAATTAATAGATGCTTTATTCAATAAAAGGCTTAATCTTCTATGCGGTTGCCTTTGTGACCTGTTCTTTGGGTCCATGAGGGTTGGACCTCATGCAGGTGCATATGAAAAAGAGAGAGAAAGGACAAAGCATATATGGGGAAGGTTAGATGCATTCAGCCTGTTACATGTGCGCTCGGCATTGCCCAGCACAGGCAGAATGAATGAAAGCCCTCCAAGACATCTCTGCTCAGCTCTTCTAAGATCAGGACTGGGGCTTCCTTGGTGGATTCAATCCGCCTTCTATTTGGTCATCCTTTTCTTCTGCCTTCAACTTTCCCGAGCAGGATGGTCTTCCCCTGGCAGGATGTGTCTGGAGGGCAACCGCCTCAGTTGTGTCATTTTTGCTTCCAGGCTAAGTTCTGGCTTGATTTGGTCTAGGGCCCATTTGTTTGTCTTTCTGTCCATCCAGGGTATTTGCAGAGCTCTTCTCCAGCACCATGTTTCAAATGCATCATTTTCTTCCTATCAGCACATTTTTGGAACGGGTTAAAGAAGAGCAGAAGTATAGTTTTATAGTCTGAGAAGGGGGGGCGGGTGGATTGGCAAGAGGGCTGTGTTAGTTTGACATCTTCAAGGTTGTTTATGTAATAGTTGGGGAAACGGCACTGGAAAATATATCTTTGTATCAACAGGTTAAAAGTGAAACAGAATGTGGCTTCTGTTTACAGGGTCTTAGCAGCGTCTGGGTTCTGTGCTTCGATTTCCACCCTCTTGCCACACCTGCTTTCACCTTGAGCAAATCTTCAGCAAAACATGATTGTATTTGAACCCTTGAACTTCACTGCTGCTCAGGGCAACCCTTCCTTGTGCAAGGCCTGTCCCTTGCCCTTCAGCACTGTAATTCCCTCTATTTCAAACATGCAGGCTCTTGAGCAGGGTCCTTTGTGTAGTCAGAATTCACCGCCCACATGAGGAATGCATCAGACTTGAAGGCATCCTGCAGTCTGCAGAGGCACAAAAACAACAAACACAACAGAACAAGTGCAAACAAAAACCAGTGGCGGGGAGGACCCCAAAACATCTCAGTGGCTACTGAACATGTTTAGTGGCTGTGCAATGCTAACAGAGTATTTGGGGGGATAGAGATGGAAAGCCGGGAGGGGTGGGATGGAGGGGCTGGAAAGCTGAGCAGCAGTGCCTACAGGAAAGCAGGTTATTTCTGCAGTGGCAAAAAATTAGTCTCTGAAAAGAGAAGAAAAAGTTGGCCCACTCCTATCTGTACCTTTGTGTAAGGGCTTATTATAGCTTAAGGAGTCAGGTTGCTGCAATAGTGCCTGGGACCCACTAGATGGCGATGTCCCCATTTACAACCAATGCAATGAGAGGGTTAATCAAGTGATGCTGTTGAACCAGCCACCTAAATCCAGCACGGGGAAATTCTGACTGAAGTGGCTTGGAGCTGGCCTTTACAAGGAGGGAGTTAGCACAGTTAGAACTGAAATGCCTGTGAAGATCTTTAACTGCTGCCTATCTCCTTGGCACTGGGCAGGCACTGGCTTTGGAAGGGCCGTTTAGGGACAAACTCCAGAAATGAAAATGCAGCCCAGAAAGCCAGTGCAAAGGGGTGCGGCTCTGCCTTCATTTATTTATTATATTTTCATCCCACCTTTCTTCCACTGTGGAACTCAAGGTGGCTACATGTGGTTCTCTGGTGGTCTCCCCTCCAAGCTCAGGCCAGCCCCAGACCTGCTTAGCTTATATAACCCCCTTCAAGGAACCCAAAGAACCCATAGGGCCCTCCTCAGCTCCAGTTATCCTCACAGCAACCCTATAAGGTAGGTTAGGCTGAGATTGACCCAAAGCCATCCAGTGGGCATTATGGCTGAGTGCGAACTAGAACTCAGATCTCCCCATTCCCAGGCCAACATGCTAACCTCTATCCTTATACTTCTTTGATATAATAATGTAATGGGTAGATTAAATCTAAATCACCCAAGAGGAGGTGGGAGCAAAAGCCATTTCAAATCATTGATTTCGATCAGGACTTTCACTGATGCTGCGTATATCTCCCAAAGAACGATCATCTGACTATACATCGATCTAGCTACTTAAAATGTCCATTTACAACTGCTTTGAAGAGAAAAAAATACAGAAACTGTCTGAGGTTGGGGGTGTCATGAAGGTGTGGCTGGCAAAGGCGGCACCTCCGTAATTCTGCCTCCACGTTTTTTTCCTTTCAGTAATGCAAAACTTCCACTTTTAGAAGTGAAGCTCAGGAATCCAGAAGAAGGGGTGAGTCAGAGTTAATTGGTCATACCAAGGAAATGTGAGCACAGAAAACAAATGCAAGAGAAAAATGCACATAAACAATAAATCCAGGTCTACACATTAAAAAGTGCTACCTAAAATCCAGGGGGATTAATCCACATTAGACAATACTTTTCTTAGGACCGACCAGTCACAATCTCACAAAAGCTGGTGCAAACCTCTGCATTCTGCAGAGTTCTTCAACAGGCTGGGCGGCTTAAGAGGCAGGGCATGGAAGAGGCAGGAGGAACAGTTCCACAGCTGAGTTAAATGGAGTCTGTGAGGTCTGCAGTTTATACCCAGTCTCCACATGGTAAGCACAGTTTGAATCCATCACTGATAGGTGTTGCAGGTGCGCCTGTATGGTGGGACAAGGAAGAAATGACTAGCCCCACGTTTTGCAAACTGAAGGCCAGCTGGAGCTCAAATCTGTCCTTAGAAACTGGGCCAATAGGGCAAAAGACTTGACTAGTGATGGGGGATCATCCCCTGGATTTATTTATCTCCTCAAAGGTAATGAATTAATTGGTGCTGAGAACAATGGATGGCAAAAGGAGAAGGGGGCGGCAGAGGACGAGGTGGCTGGATGGGGTCACTGGGATTTGGGCTTGGGTGGTCTCCAAGGGATGGCGGAGGGCAGGAGAGCCTGAAGGAATGTTGTCCATGGGGTCGTGGTGGGTCAGGCACAACTTTGCGACCAACCACAACAACGAATTCATCCCCGACATGAGTTCTCCTTTAATTCCAGAATTCCCTCTGAGTTTTTGGATATGTGGGGTATCCAACTGCATCCTGGGTACTGCAGTCTGGAATTGCGCAAAGCCCCATGACCTTGCACACCATCATGTTGTCTCTTCCTCAGTTGTTTCCACGTCATACTTCTGTGCAATGTTTGATCACTCTCAATAAACTATATATGGAGGTTTATACAACCTAAGTGGTTGTTCCTTCAAACATGATCGGTTTGTGCGAAATAGCCAAATGCCAGACCCTTTTGCTAAAGGGTTCAATTGACACAATCACATTTCCTCCTTCACTCATATCATGTGCAGAAATTTGCAATCTGTGCTGGAATGAGTAAGGAATTCTTAAGTCAGTGATCGAAACTCACTGTCAAGGTATTACAGAGGTAACTTTCGCCTGATAAGCTGGATAATTAAGACATTTGGCGGTGACGCTGCTCATGACTGTGCTCATGTAATCATCGTTCATGATTGGCAACCTTTGGCAAATTTGGCATCCAGCACTGTATGTTTCTCTACATGATCCACAGCGGCAAGCAGCACACCCTGATGAGATCCCACATCATGAGATCTGGAACCTTTGCACAGGCATGCAAATTGGTAACCTATTTACTGTAAATATTTTTAGACACTGCTCTTTTTTCAGTTTTACTGTGTTTCTATTCTGCTCTTGTAAACTGTTCCAAGGATTTCTAACCTGAAGTGGAGAATAACTTTTTTGATGGAACTATATGAATATATTAAAAAGGTTGCTTGCTTCCCTGGTACAGGCTAAACATGGCTTTAGCATGTCAAGTTTTCCCCCAGGAAAAGGAAAACTTCTCCATTTAGGATCTTGGAGCATATCACTTCCTCTATCATCCCTTCCCATCTCATTAGTATAATAAACATTGTGTAGTTGTGCATAAATTATAGCTCTTTTGGAAAAAAGAGCAACTTCTGAATAACACTGTCAATTCCCACCAGAAAACAGTATTAGTATTAATATTCATGTTAGATTACTAAGGCAATGTTCCTCTTGCAAGGAATCCAAAGCCACTTACAAGTTTTATAGCTAAACATTATTACATTGCATGTGTATCACACTTTTTCCTCCTCTGAGGAGCCCAGGCTGGCTTACACAGCTCCATTTTATCCTCACAACAACAGCAGCCCTGCGGGAGGGAGGGAGTGGCCCAAAGTCGCTGGGTGGGCTTCAGACCTGAGTCTGGATCTTCTGGGTCCCAGTCCAATATTCTCACTATCACACCACACTAACATAGGTAAAATGGCAGCAATCCTGCTTCACAATTGCACAGAACCACACCAAAAAGGACAACTTGCTGAAGGGACAATGTGCTAAGAAGATAACTCACACCCTCCACAATAATTGTCAGATTATGAAAATATGCACACCCAGTAGATGTACACAAGGGAATTGCAAGAATGTAAACAATCTTTATCGAGCAGCTGGAAGAGTTTCCAGAATAAAACATACAAGGAAACAGGATAGAAATAGAATATGGATAATGCTTGTGTCCATAATTCAGGTGGTACGATAATGCGCAGCTCACAGTCCAGTAATTCAGGCCATAAAAATGAATTAAAAATAGGAAAAATGATGGACCAACCCTTTGGTGTAGATTGTCTCCTGCCAAGAATAACTTTTGCTTTTGGCATGGTATTAGGAGAGCCTGCATGGGACATTCCGTGCCCTCTGTGGACACAAATCGGCAGTCCGTGTGTACCATGCGTACATGCGGTGCATCAGGCCACACAACTCTATTTGGGCTCATGCAGTCTGTGTCCGCTGGGCCTGAATGCATCTCCACACGCTTGGCTACATGTATTTGGATATGAAACACACGTCCTCAATGGAAGGCATGGATACCTTTATGGTATGTAGAGAAGAACCGGACCTGAGAAAAGCGGGGTAGACACAAGAATACCGCTGGGGTGAGAACCAGTGTGGTGTGGTGGTTAAGAGCGCAGGACTGGGACTCAGGCGACCTGGGTTCTAGTCCCCGCTCAG